TACCCCTAGCGTATGTCAACGTATACCGGCGTATGAGTGATATTTTTCATACGCTGGCATACGCTAGTACGATACGCAATAGTGTGACAGGGCCTTGCCTGTTTTATACGTCGAATTTCGGTCGCGTCGAATGCAATTCAAACAACAGATAATGAAACTTAATGAGGTTTATCATCTCATTATCTATTGTCTTAATTGCATTCGACGCGACCAAAACTCGACGCATAAAACAGGCCTTATCATCATTACAACATGAAAAATAAGGACACACCTACATCGTTTCATTTACACATACTACATATATACACGTAAATTATAGGTGACATTCGTATATCGTCCAACCTCAACTGGAAACCTCTACACTAAAGGCCTAAACCTTCTAAAGGCTTGACGATGCTTTACATTTTCGACTCGAGTTAAATAACTTTATTTTTGTATAATGAAAGCCATGAATTCAAAATCATGAACTTGTGGTTCAAGAAGGTTATATTATGTTTGAACAGGCAACCTTTTGTTTACAGTTACTAACCATACTGTAATCCATCTCTAGAAAATAGTGAAATTTTTTGCTGAATCATGCATTGTGACTTATTTAAGCACATCAAAATCATCCTGCCTCATATCTCCTGGCAAAGCGGGATCATATAAACAGCCCCTTATTCAGAAAATTGTGCATGCTGCCTTTAATCCCTTGGGGCCGAGGCAGCATTTTCCTTGCGTTAGTAACTTCTAGTTTTGCTCTATATGACCATCTATTAACAAGGCAACAAATCTGCTCGACCACACAAAATTTTGAGACAGTGTTGATAGACCTTCTGTTCGGTGTTGTCTATCACATTAAGAAACAAGATCTTACATGAGTGGCTTATTATCGTAAAAGTTAGGGCGGCATCAAAGCAAAGGGCTAGCTTTCTACAGTTTGGTTAAGGGTTCCGCATTGCTCGGACAACAGCACTTAAGTTTTAAGAAAGGAATGTTCAGTATTGGCATGTTAGTGTTTGGGTCTAGATCTGAGCTCTATCTTTCGACACTTTGGTATTGGAAATAGAAGCCATATGGTTTGTTTGTTTTTAGCGCGAATGGGCGATAAATGCCAAATGTAAAACATTTATAAGAGGTGTTGGTTTTTGTTGCAGGGAAATGTGATAGGAATTAGACAGGAATGATATTTGTGTGTGTTGATCATATTTAGCGTGTGTTAGTTTGGTGTTGGTGGTTGATCATATTTAGCGTGTGTTAGTTTGGTGTTGGTGGTGATGATGGTTATGAACTTATGGTGATGATGGTGATGCGTGTTGGTGGTGATAATGGTGGCTGGTGGTGACTGGCAGTGGTGGTGATGATGACGTCATGGTGGTGGTGATGGTTGTGCTGGTGCTGGTCCTGGTGGTGGTGGTTACTGTGGTGGTTGTCACTTGTAGTGATGGTGGTGACTGGTGATGATGATGGTGGCTGTGGTGGTGGTAGCTGCGGTGATGGTAGTGGCTGTGGTGATGGCAGTGCTGGTGATGGTAGCTGTGGTGGTGGTTATGGTGGCTGTGGTGATGATGGTGGCGGCGATGATGACGATGGTGGTGATGATGACGATGATGATAATTGTGTTGATGATGATGATGATGGTGGAAATAATGATGATGATGACGGTAGTGGTGGTGATAGTGGTGGTGATTATGATCATGGTGATGATGATGATTGTCATGATGATTGTGATGATGATGATGATTGTGATGATGATGATGATTGTGATGATGATGATGATTGTGATGATGATTGTCATGATGATGATGATTGTCATGATGATGATTGTCATGATGATGATTGTCATGATGATGATGATTGTCATGATGATGATTGTCATGATGATGATGATTGTAATGGTGATGATGATTGTGATGATGATGATGATTGTCATGATGATGATGATTGTGATGGTGATGATGATTGTGATGATGATGATGATTGTGATGATGATGATTGTCATGATGATGATGATTGTGATGATGATGATGATTGTCATGATGATGTATGATTGTCATGATGATGATTGTCATGATGATGATGATTGTGATGGTGATGATTGTGATGATGATGATGATTGTGATGATGATGATGATTGTCATGATGATGATGATTGTCATGATGATGATGATTGTGATGATGATGATGATTGTCATGATGATGTATGATTGTCAGGGGTGGTGGTGGTGGTGGTGGTGATGGTGATGGTAATGATGCTTGTGGTAAGATGATGATCACGGTGGTGTTTATGTAAACACGTGCAACTCTTGTTCTCCATGCAAAACATGACAGAGGATGAATTCAGTGCATTAGTCCAGTTCAATACGTGCTATGCACGCTGCGTCGGTAACTCGAGCGACATAATTGATAACATTTGCGAAAATTTATTTGCTTAACCGTCGGGGTTCTGATTAAACAATCACTTATGCCTAAATTCAGCGGCCATTATTTTTACATGAAATCATAAAACAGCCTTTAAAAACCCCGTTTCCTCTCTGAGAAACTATTAAGTATTAATCGCTCAACTTTGAGAACTTAAAACGATAGAACAAAGTCAAACGGTTCGTTTATTTTTAACGTACAAATGCTTTATGGGTGGGAAGTCTTTACTCAACTAAACTGATTGATACAGTTCTATTGAATTTCCAATTGTGCTTAAACAAAAGCCAAGCACACACCGAATTGACAGTAATTTAAGAAAATACGTGCAAATTCCAGATAATTCTCCGCTTGTTCAAACAAAGTACATGTTTTTATACAGATAATGTTTCCTTTTTTGACTCTTTTCAAGGATGTAAAAAGTCTAGACCAATCTGCGTTCAAAAACCGCAGAAACTGGAGGCGGGAAATAGTTAAAGTCGGCAAATCTCGAAGTGTATTTTACGTCAAAAGCAAACAGCAGGCCATTAAATTGAAAACAAATATTTGTTTAATTGTTACAAAAAAATTCGCCGCCTAGAGATTAAGATAAATTGGTCTCGCGCTCAAATTGACAAGTTTAATCTCATAAAAGTATTTAGAAGTATTAATATAAACAAATGAAATAGGTGTCTTAAATTTTTCCAAACCGTTCTTCCCACTAAAGTCGTGTGTTTTTTATCCATGCAGGAAGAAACCTTAAAATGAACTGGCTTTATCATCCATAGTTCTATATCTCTTATTTATCCAGTGTTTCGAGCTCCACAACTGTCTCCTTGTAGCTCTATCAGTGTTCGTAGCGGTCTTTGAAATCCTTGAAAGTCTTTAAATTTGAATGCAGGTCTTTAAGGTCTTTGAAAAGTCTTTGAATTGTGTGAAAAAGTGAAGAAAGTCTTAAAGACTTTAAATTCTCTATAGTGATTATTTGATTATACGATTTCCTAGCTAATAAAATAGATTGATTGAAGCAAGATTTTCGCAAATATCGACGAAAAAGAGATTTTATAGGATGTGATTTGACGGGACTAATTACCTGGTAAAAATGCTGCTTATATACATCGCAATTTTTCGACACCCGATTGCTCTCAAAGGTCTTTGAAAAGTCTTTGACAATAGGCAGAAAAAATCTTTGAAAGTCTTGGAATTTTTTTGGTCTTGGAGACTACGAACATCCAGTGTTTGGAGCTCGACAACTGTCTCCTTGTAGCTCTATATATGAATATACTTTTCCACTTGATTAAGACTATATTCAATTTTAAAATTTTTTGATACGTTTCTGAAGCGGCAAACAAACTTAAAAAGTGTGTTTAGTGCTTTATCTATAAAATTATGCTATAAAATTAAGAGATTTTAGATGGTACGCCAAAGAGAAATTGAGAAAATGATGTCTGAAGTTCAATATAAATTTTGCTTATATTGCTGTATACATTTATATGGCGTCAATTTTACAGCATCGACTATAACTGTAGTTTATATTGACAATATTTAACTATTATTTTGTGTTTCTCAACCGCCAGATGCATTTAAAGAGGAGAAAGCCAAAAGTAATTTTGAGAGGAGAAGGCCAAAAGGATTTTAGGTTTTGAACACATCACAAATGCGGCACATTGAAAAAACAATTGCCTCTTAAGACTTAATTTATATCTCTAGATTTTATTTAAATCATTATAATCATTACAAGCTCAAGTTTAATTTATCAATGAAATAAATAGGTGAAAAAGGCCTTGCTTTTTAATCGTTCGTTAAGCGGTTGTCAAAAATAATACCGAACAGCACGTCCATCGTTTACATGTAAACTTTTAAACAACAAGCCACAATGGGCACGAACGGAACTCCGCGCTCTTTTTGATATCAATAGACGAAATTCCCAAAAGGATATACGTGATATTGAAAGCAGGAGACTTGAATTATGTTTGCTAATCGTTTGTCATCGCGCTGCGTTGGATGTACATTAGACTAAATTTGCCGAAAGGTTGACTAAATCGCCGTCGTAAATAAATTTGATTGCATGCCGCGTGACTCAGCATGCCTCGACAAAATGAACCCTACGGGAACGCTGCGTTTCTATTTTACTGTCTATCTACGCGTAAACGTTTCGACACGATATCTATAAAAGCATTTCAAAACTAAAAGCAACTTGTCACATGTTCTACGGCTAATGTAGAATGTGTTTTAACATGAAATGCGAGCTTCTGAAGAGGTCAGAAAGTCACATGTAGGCGACTTTTATTATGCCGAAATGGGAAAAAGGGTCAAGTGTATCGTGGGATGGTCTGAAATGAATGGACAACGCACCTGCTGTGTCGCTTTCGTACAATATATAACCTGGACTCCGGATCCTTACTGGATCCTTAGTTTAGTTTAGGTTTCCTCCTGTAGTAACACTGGATCAATAAGAGATGATCCTTACTGGACTTCTAGGGACAACAGTTTAGAACTGATAGAGCTATCCAGTATAAACAAAGCTAGTTTAGTTTAGGTTTCCTCCTGTGGTAACACTGCATCAATAAGAGATGATTCTTACTGGACCTTTAGGGAGAACAGTTTAGAACTGATAGAGCTATCTAGTATAGTTTAGTTTAGGTTTCCTCCTGTAGTAACACTGGATCAATAAGAGATGATCCTTACTGGACCTCTAGGGAGAACAGTTTAGAACTGATAGAGCTATCTAGTATAAAAAAGTTAGTTTAGTTTAGATTTACTCCTGTAGTAACACTGGATCAATAAGAGATGATCCTTACTGGACCTCTAGGAATAACAGTTTAGAACTGATAAAGCTATCCAGTATAAATAAAGCTCATAGTCTGGACAATTTTTTTAAACAATATCTTTCTTTTTAGATTTCAGAGTGAGAAGAGAGGCAACGCCGACAGAAAGATCCCGTGTTTCCTGTTGTTGTGGAGGTGCAGTGTACAAGGCCACTTTTATAAGTAAGTAAAAACGAAGATTTTTATTATTATTGAATATTGTATTCCTCCTGTAGTAACACTGCATCAACATGAGATGATCCTTACTGAACCTCTAGGAAGAACAGTTTAGAACTGATAGAGCTATCCAGTATAAATAAAGTTACTTTAGTTTAGGTTTCTTCCTGTAGTAACACTGGATCAATAAGAGATGATTCTTACTGGTCCTTTAGGAAGAACAGTTTAGAACTGATAGAGCTATCCAGTATAAATAAAGTTAGTTTAGTTTAGGTTTCTTCCTGTAGTAACACTGGATCAATAAGAGATGATTCTTACTGGTCCTTTAGGAAGAACAGTTTAGAACTGATAGAGCTATCCAGTATAAATAAAGTTACTTTAGTTTAGGTTTCTTCCTGTAGTAACACTGGATCAATAAGAGATGATTCTTACTGGTCCTTTAGGAAGAACAGTTTAGAACTGATAGAGCTATCCAGTATAAATAAAGTTACTTTAGTTTAGGTTTCTTCCTGTAGTAACACTGGATCAATAAGAGATGATTCTTACTGGTCCTTTAGGAAGAACAGTTTAGAACTGATAGAGCTATCCAGTATAAATAAAGTTACTTTAGTTTAGGTTTCTTCCTGTAGTAACACTGGATCAATAAGAGATGATTCTTACTGGTCCTTTAGGAAGAACAGTTTAGAACTGATAGAGCTATCCAGTATAAATAAAGTTACTTTAGTTTAGGTTTCTTCCTGTAGTAACACTGGATCAATAAGAGATGATTCTTACTGGTCCTTTAGGAAGAACAGTTTAGAACTGATAGAGCTATCCAGTATAAATAAAGTTACTTTAGTTTAGGTTTCTTCCTGTAGTAACACTGGATCAATAAGAGATGATTCTTACTGGTCCTTTAGGAAGAACAGTTTAGAACTGATAGAGCTATCCAGTATAAATAAAGTTACTTTAGTTTAGGTTTCTTCCTGTAGTAACACTGGATCAATAAGAGATGATCCTTACTGGACCTCTCGGAAGAACAGTTTTTAACTGATGGACCCAGATAGTGCTATGCAGTATAAATAAAGATTTGTATTTCTTAGGTAAATGGAACAAGACCACGCATCCAAAAGACTATCCAGAGAATCTAGCCCATTTCTCGACTGTGATTGGAGGAACGCATGCGGACAAACATGTAATTTGGGAACTGGGTTCTAAAGCCTCTCCCGCGGTCAAGAGATTCACGGAATGGGGCGACACGCGGAGCTTGTTGAATAAATTAAGTCGCAAAAAATATTTGGGGTAAGAACTGTAGAGCATGGGTGAATCTGTTTAATACAAAATAAACCCTGTAGCAACACTGGAACAATACTGGATCCCCA